TGGTGCTGGGTGTACACGGTCAGGGGTGCTGGGTGACGCTGTGCGCTCGCCCAGCGCTCACCGGCAATGCCGGTGATGAGCGCAGCTGCAGAGTTTTATCGCCCCGGGGTGCAGCAAGCTCGCCGAAGCCCAAGGGGGAGCAGTTTTCAGGGTCCATCATATCGTTGCCCCGGAGGGTTTTCAGAAAACGGGGAGCTTCTTGGGAGGGGAATTGGTGGAGCCTCTTTGTGTGTGGAGAGGAAGGATCCAGGCTCTTTCCCCGCCAGTGGGATGCGGTGGAGGTTTCTGTTAGATTTGGCCGATCAGACTGTGTGCTATTATCTGCCCTCGGAAATGGCTAACGTGGAGACTATTGGAAACATACCGTCAAAGTTATTTTTGTGCTTGGGCTTTCAGAAGTGCTGTCTGCAAATCTCTGTAAAGGAAATTCCTGGCATTGTATGAGCTGATCAGAAATACTGCTTCACCACCAGGTTACGCTGCTTATAGAGTGGCTTTTGGTCACCCTTCCAGCTCGCCCTTGCCCTGTTTGCCCGTGTAAAGAAATCTTGCTCAGGGTAGCAGATGACATTGGATATACTGATACTGGGCACAGGGCATTAAAAGACAGCAGGACGGAGTTTGTATTTAAGGTTCTCATGCTTAAAATTCAAAGCAGTTAGGTCCGTTTTACGCAAAGCGCAATAAAAAACACCCTGACAGAAGAGGCCAGTTTTTATTCCCCTTGCAGGTAGGGATCAGAAAGCTCTACGCTCTCTAGAAAACTTGTCATCAGATTTTGGAAGAGCTGGCCAGTTGCCTGGAGGTTCAGGGTGTATAAGTGCCCTTGTTTGGACCTCAAGGTCCAGAGCATCCTTGTCCCCTGCTGGGCAAGCAGAGGATGGGAAGGTTGCTAACTGCCCGTGCCCTGTGCCCAGCTGTTAGGTGACTACGACAAGGTGAAGGCGGTGTCCGAAGGCTCCGACTGTCGGTGCAAATGCGTGGTCAGACCCCTGGGCCGTGGTGCCTGCCAAAGGATTAACGAAGGCGCTTTCAAAGCGGAGGATTTTTACACGGTGGAAACCATCACGTCAGGACCCAGCTGCAAGTGTGCGTGCGTGGCCCCCCCCTCGGCGCTCAATCCTTGCGAGGGGGATTTCAGGCTGAAGAAGCTGAGGGAGGCGGAGAGCAGTGACCTGAAGGTAGGAGAGCAGCTTGAATTTGGGACTCTTTTGGGAGGGGGAAGATCTTCTGAAGGTGTTTTTTTTTTTCTGGAGCTTTTTCTGAGAACATTTTCTTCTTAAACTTTTTTCCTAAAACGTTGCCTGGTTACTTTTATATCTGCCTGCTTGCTATAAAAATCAAGCTCAGTTTAAGGGATTGATTTGAGCAGCTGCAGCTGATGATTCACTCGATTCATCCCGTGCTGCTTGGGATTCACCAGGGCTGCCTGCACTGGAAGCCCAGGAGGGACTGGGCTGCTCCCTACCCTTTGTCCAGCACTAAGTGTCTTTAGGGGAGAGCTCTGCTTTGCTCAGCAGCTGCCAGGTCTTTTTCTCATCACCAAGAGGGGTTCCCAAGGACCCACACAAAAAACTGTTTTGGCTTCCGTGAGCCAAAAGCTGCTGATGCGTCAGTGTGAGGGTGTGTTACACAGATGGCTCGTGGCAGGGTAGGTTTTGTTGTTTTAAATGCTGATGCTTCTATACTATTTAGCATTTGATCTCTTTAGTAATACCTACCTCTTTCCCAAATGTGACAATATGTTCTAAGTCCTTGTGACTTTTACTGGATGCTTACTTTTGCTGGTCTAGCAGCTAGCAGCAGACACTACGGAGTTTTCCAGTTTGTTGCCTCAGCAGGGCAGCAGAAATCTTCCCATAAGGGCCATTGACTTGGTCTAGTCCTGGAGAGTCACTGGAGCAGAAGGTTGAGTGCTGGTGGCACTTGTGTGTGGTGATGGGACATACCTTGGGGCAGTGCTGCTAGTCCCAGTTCTGGTGGGAAGGCAGACAGTGTGCAGAGTGCTGTGGGGCAGCCTGCTGCTGGGGCCACCATGATGGGTTTGTTCTAATTAAATTGGAGCTCAAGGATGTGTTTCGTCTTGTCCGACTGCAAGCAGTCAGGAGCTTCTTGTCCAACCTTCCCTGCAGCTAGGGAAGATAAACAGGCACAGGCAGGCAATCCATCATTTCAGGGAAGGAGGAGTCTCTGTCTGGAGTTGTCTGGTGGTCCCTTGTCTGCAGGAGAAGCCAGGATGTCCTGCTTGGCCTTAGATGAGGAGCTGTGAGTGGTCAGGGGAGGGGACACCCTCTGAGGTTACAGAGCCACCACAGCAGCCCATTGCCTGGAGGCACGCAGAGCTTCTTCTCCAGCAGGTCACACTTCTCTCCTGGTCTTCTCCAGAGCCGGTCAGCATCCAGGAGGAGCAGAGCATTGTGACTTGCTGCACCCTTGGCTCCGGCTGCCTCTTCCCACCAGGGAGCTGCTCGCAGCCAGCTGTGGTGTGAAAGCGTGTCCTCTAGGAACCAGCCCAGGCTCCCCCGCTCATTTCGCAAGGATCTGCGGCCAAACGATTTCACAAGAATGATCCAAATATACACACGTGGGGTTTTTCTTTGCTGCAAAAGTCAAGCCCTAGGAGCTGTGAAAACAGGCTTGCTTTCGTGCCGAGCGCAGACCTCCTGGAGTTGGCCGCACTGGAACAGCCACCTCTTGTAGGAGAAGCCAGAAGGCAGGAGAAGACACAGATCCAAGTCACTAAGGTGACTCATGAGGAGCAGCTTCCACGCTCATCATCGAGGGGCAGAGCTGGGACTGCCTTGCTCCTGACAGCCCCGGGGTTTTACTCTCCTTGCTGGGCTGATAAGCATCGTTCTTGCCTGGCCCAGCAGCGGGATGCACGTAGTTGTGCTCTATGTCTGTTGTGTTTTAACAGGCTTTCTCAAAAGCTCTGAGTACTCTGTTTCTGGGTGGGCTGTGGGAAGCTCCCCAAAATGAGAGCCCTCCCTCACAACAGGTGGGCTGGATGATTCGTCCCAGAGGGAATGGCATGGAAAGGAGTAGATAAGCTCAGGAAGCCCCTGGGGCACACCAATGCGGTCGAAAGGCTGAGCTGGGTGTCCCAGCTGAAGGTTTCCATCCCAACCGTGCCTTTAATAAAGTGCCATAGGAATGCATGGACCATCAGAGAGGGAGAGCCAGTGTGCAATGGGTGAAGAGAAGGAAACAACCTGGTGTGTGTATCAGTACGGTATTTTGGGGAGGGTCAACTTGGTGATGGTAGGGGTAGCTGACTCTAAGATCTATTTTTGTGAAACTGCAGCATGCTGCTCCTCTGCTTGTAAGCGTGCTGTGAATTTTGAGGGCCTCGGGCTCAGCATCTGTCCTGGGAGTCTGTGTTCAGGAAGATTTGGAAGGTGGTTAACGAAGTCTGCAACCTTTGTGCAGTGATGGAAGTTATCCAGCCTGGAGGGAAAGGGCTTGCCTCCAGTGACTGTCTGGCAGGTTGCGAGCATTGTATCGGTCGTCTCTGTCCAGTTCTCAGTGGAAAGTGGATGCGTAGCCATGAAACAGTCCTTGTCTCTTAATGCTGCCATCTTATCTGGCCCCAAAAAATCTTTCCTTTACTGTCAGCTCCACAGGGAGACTGCAGAGGCTGGGGTGGAAACTCAGAGTGCTGCCAGCTGTTCTGCCTGTTCTTCTCCCGTGTTTATGGAGCTCTGTCAACCAGTTCATAGCTGCTGGGAGAAAATGTCACTGCCTTGCAGTAATTCCCTATTGAATTGAAAATTATTCTCAGCCATCTAAGCTGTAAGGTCGGCAGCACCACACTGGACACATGGGACTGGAGGGAACAGGCACGTATGGGAGCCCTCCTCACCAGCCCGGGACTCCCTCGGTGCTGTCTTCTGCAGAGTGAGCACGGGGGAACTGTGCAAAATGCAGAACAAGGGTATTGCTGTCTGGATCCCCAGGATCATCGGTGAGCAAGGGCTGGTGCTGAGCAGGTTGCAGGGATGCAACTCTCCCTGCTGCAGGAAGGCAGCGAGTTAAATGCAGGGTGTCTCTGAAATAGGTGGTTGAAAGAGAAGGCAGCATCCCTCTGACAAAGTCATTCTGCTGGGAAGCAAACTGTTAGCAGGCTGGCCCTGGATTTCGGTTACTTTACTCTTGCCTTTGTGAACATTTTAATATTTCTTAGCAAGTTTCTTCTTGTTCCAGGAAAAAAGAGCACAGGATGGCACAAAATCAGACTCTGATCTCAAACTCACTTTTATTTGAGCTGCTGGTCTCTTCTTGCCTCTTCTGCTGCCATTCAAGTCACTGGTGCAGTAGCTAAGCCTTCAGGCTTGTGAGAAAACATGACTGGAGCTGGCAAAGAGGGCAGTGCTTCTCTTTGCTCTGCTTACTAATCCCCAGCACCCAAAACACTCTCTGGATGCCCTGAAGCTCTGTAGCACTGGTTTGCGTTGCTCTGTGTGTTGTGCTGTCCATGGCTGCAATGCAGCAGGGCTGTGTCAGGAAAAATTTGCCTGATAATAAATTTATTGCACTCAGATGTGTGCATTGCCCTTGACTTTTTGGCTGTAGAAATCACACGGGGTTCTTTATGGCAAATGCCTCTGACTAACAGTGTGCTTGCTCCTTTTGCAGCTGTCCTCAATCATGGAAATGCTGGAAAGTGCTTTTTATGGCTTGGACCTTCTGAAGCTGCACTCGGTGACAACCAAGTTGGTGGGGCGGGTGGAAAAGCTTGAGGAGGTAAGACGAGCCCTACTCTCCTTCCAGGTTGTTGCCTCTGGTGGGACTTGCCTCAAATCAAGTTCTTGGTACCTTTGGTACAGTCAGAGACTTGCTCCTTTTGGAAGAAATTAACTATTTGTCTGAAATTAAGCTTGACCAGACTAGACTATTGATGTGAGGATGAGAGGTTCAGGGCTGGTGCTGGGGTACGCTCACCAGGGCTGCTGGTTGCTAAGGAGGTCAGATTCCTTAAGGACTAAATGATATCTTGGCCTGTGTTTAAAAAGAGCTCAATGCTGCTAAAAGGATGGATAAGGTACCTTCCATTCTTTTAGAACAGACTTCTAGTGAAATCATTTTCACTTCCATACAGTTTAATGTTTCTTTGGCTAGCACAGCGTGGGGTTTGCAGTTTGTTAAGCTGCGCTCAGCTATGCAGCAACAGGTTGCCAGACTAAATACTGGAATTTTCTCCCATGGTCCATATCTGGGGCGGTAATTCCACATTCTTGTCAGAGCAGAGCAGTCCTGCTTGTCTGCAGCCAGGAGCTGAGGGATGATGATTTATAAAGCCAAAATTCCACTTGCAAAGTGTTTTGGGAAGGCGCGTCGTGCTCCATCCCGGGGTCAGGGAGGAGACAGCCGAGAGGAGCACGTTTGCCTGGGGGTCTCTGGTTTTCCAAGCACGGTGATTGACCCAAAAAGGGGGAGAAGGAGTTTTGAGGTCTAAAACCAACAAAGCACGAATGTTTTTGTTTGCAATCCCACCCTCTCCCTGAGGTTTAGTGTGTTCTCCAGTTGCTGCTCTGGTTTGCCGATGAGCCTTCACTAATTAGGGGAGCGAGTGAGGGAAGCGGGAGCTGTGTCGCCAGACCCCCGCCTCACATCCCCCTTGGGGAGCTTCGCCGTGGTGGCACTGGTCACCGCGGGTCTGGGGGTAGGGTGATCCCCGTCCCATGGGATGGTGAGCTGGGATCGCCTGGAGCAGCGGCGGTGAACACAAAGGGCCCATCGGGACAGACCGATGGTCTGCGGCTCTTTAACATCCAAAGTCAGCTGGATTAGGGGCGGGGGGGGGGGAGGGGACAAGCCACCTCCCATTTTGGTATTGTTTATGGAGCTGTGGTCCACCAGTTTGTCTAACTTTAAAACTGGTTGACTTTTCAGTCATTTTCATGGCGCTGCTGGGCATTGTCACCTTTAAACAGGTCAGACCAGAGCGACACAGCACGTCAGGACAGGGAGTGCAGGCTCCTCGAAGACCTCGCTGAAGGCTGAGTGAGAGGCTAAGGTGACGTAAGTGTTAGGAGCTGACAAATGACACCAGGGATGACTTCACATGGGGTTACCACTGCCCTTTTCTTCAGTACCAGAGTGGCCCTATCTACCAGCTGGTTCTTGCACAAGCGGTGCTGGTGGCACTTGTCCGTTGGAACACAACGGAGTGACTTTGCAGTGTGGCCGCTCTGCTCGCAGCCCATTGCAGCGAGGCAGGCGGGCAGAGAGCTCAATCTGGCTGATGTAGTTTGGCCAGAGATGGAGTAGGGGGGGAAATCACAGACTTGAGTCTTTAATTTCCCAGAAGCCAGGCTGCAGGATCACGTAACAAGCAGCTGAAGCTGCCTGCAGGCACTCGGATGGGATGGAGAAGAACAGGAGAGGTCTGGGTTAGATAGAGATTCCCCAGTGCCACTAGTGCAGGCGGCAGGTGTGAAATGCTTCCTGCTGCTGGCTTAGCACATCAATTCAGGAGGTTCACACCCCACATTGGCCATGGGATCTGCTGCAATGGACAGCTGAGATGCTGAACAAGAGCCTGGCGTGGCTTCAAAGCATCAGCCTCCCAGCCGGGTGTGCTTTTGGCAGCTGCTCCCTAGCAAAGCAGCTGAGCAGCTTCAAGCAGCATCACAGTCCAGGCTTTGGTGGTGCCTCCCTGTCCAAGGGGAGGCTGATTTTATCCCTAAGACAGGTCATAAGCCAGACATTACACAGAATAAGTGATAAGGGCATGAGGCTGTCAAAATTAGCCATCCTTCCAAAAGGAGGATGGTGTCGAAGCTGCTCCTGCTCCTGCCCTGCTCCTGGGAGAGCATCATGAGATCCCCTGTTCCTTTTCTTACTGCAGCAAAACACTTGCTGAAAAGTCCCTGCGTTACTAGACTCTGCCTCAAAATTGCATGATAAATCTGTGACTCATGATTCCTGGGTAAAGAGTGGGAATTCAGATGCCCATGGAGGGCGTTAGGGGTTAACTGAGCTCAGAAGTGTATTTTTGCAGAGATGAGAAGATTTTTGCATGTTGTTTCCAGTATAACAAGGTATGTTAAACAAATCATGTTGGTAAAGGGAAGGAATCCCCACTACTTGGTCCACAGAGCTAGTGTCTTCTCTAGTGAGGTGGCTTCTCTGCTTTGTCTCTAGTTTGCAGCTGTTGCATCAGCTGGCAAGTTTGAGGTCACAGATGGAGGTCACGGTGGGTTTTAGGAAAAATTAATGGCAGAACAGATTGAAAACAAAGGATTGGGAGAGCTGCCCCCAGTGTCAGTACAAAAATGCTTTGATTGATGTACAACCTATTCAAAGCCATTGCCGTTTAAGATAGATGAGCAGAGACTGCAACAACCCTTTGGATACTGAATGAACTTATGGCTGAGGGACTAAGAAGGGTCCCAGGACAGCTCTCTGAGGGTCACTGCCTCTCTTCCTCTTTCCAAGTTCTCCCTCTCTTCTGTGCAAATGGAGGGTGGTGAGGAGGAGCAATTGCTGAGCGCAGGCACAACAGGGCAGCAGGGCAGGACCTGGAGGACAGAAACCAGACGAGCGGGATGTAGACCTCAAGGACTTGCCTCACGGGTCAGGTGGGCAGGGATCAGCTGGGATGGGAGCCTGCTAGGAAACTGGGATTAATAAACGGGAGATGAACTTGCTGCCACAGGCAAAGGATGAGAGGCTGGGACTTTAGAAGTTTTAGCTTGTCTTTTCCTCTTCCTTTTACAAACCAGTGACTGTGGTTGAAGGTGGATGTTGCTCCATGGGCCTCTGTGGCAGAGAGTGGATCTGGGATGTGCACACCAGGGATGGGGGTTTCTGGATTCCCCTGGGTTCAGGGACACCCTCTTAGCAGCTGTTGTGCCCAGGTCCGTGGAGAAGACCAGCCGTCAGCCCAGGATGTCAGCACAGAACTTGCTTGCTCCTGTGCTGTGGTTTGGGGGACACAGAGCATCAGTTGTCTTTGTAAAGCCTCCTCTCTTGCTTTCCTAGGGCATGTCCAGAAATTTCACGCAGGAAGGCCACCGGGCAGCAGCCAACGTGGAGGAGGGTCTGCAGAACCCTCACCGCAGGGGCAGGGAGAACTGCTCCAGCCTCGTCACCAACAGCCTT